GGCGGCGGCACCCGCGTTTCCCCGGTGCGGCGGCGGCGCTGGTGGCGGAGGTGCGGGCGGGGGAGTGCCTGTACCTGCCGGCTGGGTGGTTTCACGAGGTGACGTCATACAGCGAGCCCGGTGAGCATGGGACCACAAACACAAGGGGGCTCTCAAAATGAAATGGTGCCGACCCTTGGAAGTCGAGCGGACAGCAGGCGAACAGGCAGCAGACTTGGGGTTCTGCCCTTCCACAAGGAGCTGCCCCTTTGCATGGGCTGCGACAATTTACCGGCGCATGGGCCTGCCTTGTCCGCTGCCGCCGCTCGCGGCTGCGGCGGTGGCCTTTGCTCAGGGCGCAGAGCTCATCGGTCCCCGCTGCCCCTTGCCTCGCCCGACCCTGCGTGCAGGCTGCGCGACCCACCTGGCCCTCAATTGGTGGTTCCACCCGCCAGACCGCCTGGCGCCCTCAGAGGCGGCCTTCGAGCGGCCCTACACCAGCGACTACTGGCCGACCCTCTGGCAGGCGCGATTGGCGCGGCTGCGGGCTGCGGGGGCAGGCGGCGGCGACGGCGGCGGCGGCGGCGGCGGCGGCGGCGGGGCGGGGTCGGAGCGGCGGCGGGCGGGCGGCAGCGGGGAGTTGCGGGAGCGGCGAACCGGGGGCGTGCGGAAGCGCAGGGCGGGCGGCGCGTCGGCGCCGGCGCACGTGCGGTGGCCTGGCGGGCTGCACGAGCCGTCCAACCGCTACTACCGGGGCAACACGCACCCCGGGACGGCGAGCGGCACGGCGGCGGCGTGGCCGCCGCCGAGGCCGAAGGGAGAGCCGCCGGGCGGCGGCGGTGGCGGCGGCGGCGACAGTGGCGTTGGGGATGAGGAGGAGCATGAGCCTGAGGATGCAGTGGCGGCTTACTTCAGGGCTAATCCTGATGCGGCCAGGGCCTTGTTTGCCCAGTTCCTAGCATCCAAGTACGGGCCTGGCGGCGGGGGCACCGACGACAGGGGCGGGGCCCACGGCGCGCGGGGGCGCGCGTCGCCGCTAGCGGCGGGGCGGCGGCACCACGTCCCTGTGGCGTACCGCATGCGGAAGCGCGTGCCAAAGCCGCATCCCAACATGGGGTGAGGGTAACACCTGCCGCAAACTCCGTCTTGCCCCTATCCTTTTCTCGGTATCACAAGGTCTTATGTTTGTCATCTCGTGCCCCCTGGATGGAAGGCGCAAGCGGGGCAATGAGGGGCTGACCT